AGGCGCAATCTCGCATGACAACGCAATACAAAGTCGCAACGACATACGTGGAAAATCACTTGTTCTCTCAGTGAATTTTCATATGTAAATATCTACCAACATTTACCACAAAGCTCAACCCGAGTATTTGGAAGGCAAGGATTGCAATGTCCTTTCAGCATGTTGGTTTGTCAAACTTTCCAGTTTTTGTCAACAAACTAGTAGAATTTTTCGCTTTCATCAGCTTAAAAACGGTCTCGAAGGTCATGTGTAGAGAAGAATCTGTGGAATATTTATCAAGATGTCTAAGACAGCGTCACTGTCATTTGCAAAATCTTGTTACAATAGAAATTGCAGTGTTAGGCTATAGCGTATACTAATGACAATTAGAATGAGTGAGATCGATGTTGAAGAAAGTAGTTCCAAACAACGTGAGACCTGGGAAATATATTGTTACGCCTCCGTTCGTTAATTGGTTTTCCGTAAATTCGTTCCGAAGAAACTTTACCGATACAAGTCCTTTGTTAAATAAAACTGGTTTATTCTTTCTGAATACAACTTTGCGATACACTTAATTTCCACAGTCGCGCTATAACAAACGCTATAATTCACAACGAACGTCTCACGTGCTCAACAATACGTCTCTCTCTAGATCCGCAGTTCAATTACACATTGTTGCCGTCACGTCTTGACCGTCTTATATATACAAGACTACGACATATCTAGTAAACACTAGAGCATTCAGGACGGGACAGGATCCTTCTAGAAGTCAATGACGTGTTACTAGGGTCACGTGACTTCCGCTGTCGTAACAATACTAACCTTTACAGAGGCTCCAAAACACCCGGATGATTATCTTCAGGCTAGATAGTATAAAATGGTCATTTGCACCACCATTATTACATATTTGACATATAAAGCAGAACCTCTCTACACTAGTCTGGGCTGGCTTTGGCAGCACGGGAGCTGCTTTTATCAGCTCCTTATATTTTCAATCTCTCATTGTAAAATCTGAATATCTAGCGAAGCACCCCACTTTGCAACTCCTTCCTACACCACTGCCTTAGCATTTTATTTAGGCAAACATTAATTTAAGATGGTATCTAAGATATATCTATTATCTAAGTTGATATATATATAAGATGTTAATTTGGATCTGTTTTAGCTTTATGATATACTAATCTTAAATGTAAGAGTAACAAAATCCAATTGTTATTTAACCTAAACGTTATATTGTTTTAGTCTTACTAGACTTTCACCTGAAATGACCTTACGAACTAACACCTTTTTTAGTATATGGCTCATTTTGTTTGTGGAAACATTTTTGGCTTTTGCTCAAGGCTGCACTAGGACTATCTGAACTAACCATCCCTAATTTTGAAGTGACAGACAAGAGGGAAGTTAGCTAGTCAACACTGCTCACCAATAGCTCTTGGGCTGCTCAAGAATATTGGGATTCTATCATAACACACCTATTGCATTAAAGTGTTGAATATGATTTTTTGGCAGTAATAGAATGCAAACCACAGCTCTGTTTTCTTTGACAGATTGTTTAGGCAGAGTATTCATGGTGAAACTTTGTAGAATGTGCCTGTTGTAGAGACACAAGTGTAGAGGACGACGTTTCGAAAGTCTTCCGCCTTTCGTCTTCACGTTAGTGTGTGCTTACTTACGTGGCAGGGGTTCAGTTTGAAGAGAGAGAAGACAAGAGACTTCTCTCCCCAACTGGGGTGCTCAGGAACACTTTGTTCCTCTTCAACCCCGCTCGTGGAATGTCAGTTCTCGTGATTCCGGAGGGGAAAAAGGGAAGGGTAAGGAAGCCGGCAACAATGAAGAAGTATAACAGTGAATTTTCATCCTCTTCATTTTCGTGTTTGGTGTTCGAATGTTGCTGTTACAGGGAGACACCAGGCACGGGTAGGCGTTGTTATATGTGTGGAATATGCGATATTGTCTTGATGTTGTATTAACTAATGATTTATTGCTAAATGATTAATTGATTTATTAACTAATTGATAGATTAATTAATTAATCAACGGCCCTCTCAGGGTGGACAGAAACCTATAAGTTCCATGCTCCAAATTTAGGGAAACCCGGAGTAATCGGAGAAAACCTACTTTTAAAGTGCATACGCCGAATAATCTATTTGCCCTGTGCCCAAGCTGAGTGTGTGTAAGGGTATTGTCGCTACTTATAGTATTCTGGTGGATTGTGAAGAGGTGGATTGGTTGGTTTATCCCTGTTTCTGATTGGAGAAGAGATTTCCTGTAGATTCAACTAATGGAAGCCACAGGTTACCTCTAATCCGGAATCTCTGTTTAGTGAAGGTTTAATTGTGTCAATATAAAATTATTCTTTAATTTTTTTTGTCTTCCAAAATGTATCTGTGTCAATGATTCTAGTTTTTTCTAGTTTATTTCATGTCCAGTTGACATGGTGTGTTCTGCAATGGCTGAATTTTGTGTTTTCACAAGTCTTGTTCCGTCTTTATGTTCTTTTATTATTGTTACGAGTCTTCCTCCCGTTTCTCCAACATATGTTTCGTTGCAGGAACACAGAATTTCATAAATGACGTTTTTTTGTTTCTCATTGGTAGGTTGCTGTTTTTCTTCTACCAGAATGGACATTAATGTCTTGTAGGATTTCCACCGGATTTCTATGTTGAATTTCCTGGCTGTGTGTTTGAGTTTTTCATTGAAATTTTGCAGCTAAATGGTAGTAGTGGTAGTGTTTTTCTGATCTTTTCTTTCTGTTGTGGTTTTCTTAAGGGAGTTTTTGATGAAGGAGGAGGTGTAACAATTCTGTTTAAAACCCTCTAC